AACAGCCACTTCCTTAAGGCTGTTGCTACACTTCAAAGGCGGAGGCACCCTATCGACCAATTGAATATTGATGCAAAATTCATCAACTATTCAATCAGTCAGTCGATATTTAGCATCCCTAACATGCATCTGCATCTAACTTTGCTTCAGGCTTAAATCTTCTAAAACTAAGAAGCTGCAGCACAAAGATAATTTCTGGTACCTGCCAACTACTTGTTCTCTTAACCACAATATGAAATCGTTTCCTGCTCTCCCTCCCCCCGGCATTGTATTTAAACATATGTAGATATTGCTGCATAACTTTTTTTTCCTGATTCTAATTCCCGTAGACCTCAAAGCCTCTGCAGTAGCACTGGCTAAATCAGTGTTTTCAGCAGTTGCTTTAACCCAGTGGTCCCCAATACGGTACTTGCGGGCGCCCGTCGGGGCATTTATGTGCGCCTGCCTAGTGACCAGGGCTGGCCCAAGCCATTCTTGCTCCCCGGGCATGCGGCGCATGCGTGGCCCCGCCCCCGGGCGCCCGGCGCATGCGCAGCCCCACCCCCGGATGCCCGGTAGCCCCAAAAGTTTGGGGACCACTGCTTTAACCTGGTCTTTCAGCAGGTCTTCAGTGCTGACATACTTATGAATGCACTGTTCCCTTCTCTTGCCAGATGGCAAGTACCACTGCCTAGTTAGAGAGTGGAACACAGTTGTTCCTGGAACTTTTTTGGTTACATTTCCTCTCCCTCCTCTCCCCCCAAATAAAAAGTAATCAGCACCACTATCAGCTAACTGGTGTTTGGAAATACTATGCAGGCAGTAGAGGGCAGCCATTTTCAGTGGCAAATTTATTAATATGTTAGAACAGCTGAATCTGAGTTTCTAAGGTGTGTTAGTGTCACCATGTAAAATGTTGATAGTAAACTTAAAAAATGGGACATTAATTCAGTGGAGTGGGTGCTGGAATATTAAGTGTGGGTATTCTCTCTGTGCCTGGCTAGAAGTCTTACTTTCCCTGCAGTTTAAAGTTGTATGCTATTTTATGGATGGATGCTAGCTATGTCCAGTAGTAATTGTTGAAAAGGAGCTGAAACCCAAACTATTGTACCTACACGCTCTATGACCCACAAAAGTCCAAAGCACAGTGCTAACAGAGGCTCTTGGCAGTAGCTCAGAGCAGAAGGTCAGTGAGTACTATTGACCATAATCCTTACATTGGGTTGGAATCCAGTGGCCATTACAATAGACGGTTTAATGAATAAGGGTATTAACCCTCCATGTCTCCTCCTTCCCCTTCCATTTTTTTAAATACAAAGGACTAAATTACCTACAGGTTGAACCTTTCTAGTCTGGCATCTCTTGTTTGGCAATATCTGTGGTCCGGTATGATTTTTAGTTGGCTGGATGTCCACTTATCATGGGTGTGGCCAAGTTTTCCATGGTCCCATAAAGTTTGTTTACAGCCACCAGTCCTGGCTCTCAGGATTCTGTGCTGTTATTTAGCTCTAACACCTAAATGTCTTCCAAGAACCCAGTAAGCAGTGGAAGTGTTGGTAATGCTGCTAGACAATATTGACCTCCCGTGTTTCGGCAAATTCTGTAATTCAGTACTGGTCAGGTCCCGAGTGTGCTGGACTAGAGAGGTTCAACCTGTACTCAGCTAATATGGTATGACTCTATTTATGAGTTACTCCAGTGCAATCAACAGCCAGCGCACTATTCCACTGGATCTGCACAACCAAGAAGGCCTTACTGAATGGCAAGATGTTAAAAATGTAGCAGTGCTTTCCCTGGTACAAGGAAAAGGCCAAGTTTCACCCTGACATATGAGCACTCCATGGCCTCCGCAGATGGAAATCAAAGCAGAATGAATCCCAGGCTATTTGCATGGATTTAAAAAGACTTGTGTATGAAAGTAAATTATTCAAGGCCATGTTCCCACTCCCATTGACGCAAAAGGCAAAAAACAGGGAAAGCCCGATGATTGAGCCCTAAAGTTTTCATTGCAATATGGATAGAGGAGCAATATTTTTTTTTATTTAAAAGTGGACCCTGGCTCAAAGCAATCTACTATTTACCTATATATCAAATATTGCACTCTAAGTCCGTTTCTTTGGCAGGAAGATGGAAACAGCTAGCCAGCTGAACAGATATTTCTGTGCATCCTCATTTATGAACTTACAGCAAAACCCCACAAATGGTGTCAGTTTTATAGTCTGTAATTTTTTTAAAGCAGTTTATTTTCAATAAAAACACTGGCCAAATTTTACTGTTACCCTGGCGCAACTTTTTGATGTTGTTGGCATTACATGGTTGCAGCCACAGGCAGACTATGGCTTGTACTATTAATATTATTCTAAGTCTTTTTCCTCAATAGCACCAACATTCATTTTGTGCCACTTTTCCTTGAAGGTAATGGAAACACAGCCACAGCAGTTTTCACTGCTGGTAGGGAGATGCTATCATCCGAGGAACTGCAGTGTTTATAAAGTTGAAGTAATATAGTGGCTTGTGTCCATGTCCTCTTTTCCCTCCTCCGGAGACTGAGGCAAATAGGGTTGGGTTGTTTTTAATATCTTAGGAGCTAAACAAGCTAAATAAATAATTAGTTCTTCATGACTGAAGTTTGGATCTGGAAAATTTGCACTTCCTCTTTTCACAAAGTCTCAGTGATCAAGCCTTCTGGGTGAGGCTGCGATTACACAGCTTCATTCCCATTGCTGCTGCTGCCTCGTGACATTTTTTTCCTCGGTACATTATTTAAATTGTGTCCAGAGAAATGAGGTGATCTGTTGCAGTTTGTTCTCTTGGAAGCAATGGGGAAGTTCTGTGGTGTAACATAAAACATTCTATGCACTGAAGATTTTCTAGCTTCAAAATGACAAGCATAGGATGGAAGTGGCTGAACTGGCATTGAAACTGGAAGTTTGGCTGCTTTGATCATAGCCACTGACTGGTTTGATTAGAGTGTCTTCTGCAATTGAGGCAATCTTTAAATAGAGACTTTCCCCTCACCGTGGTTGACCTTTCCAAAGGCAACATTTATACGGTAAAAATATCCCTAACAAATAGAAGTTAAAAACCCAAAACAAAACAAAAAGCCATAATCGTTTTAAAAGTTTTCAAAATAAATTCTACTGAGGGAGTTAGAAACCAAAGATATGAAAAAGGAAGTTGCTTGCATAATTAAACATTCAGTGAGAAAGAAGAATCCCTAATTCAAGTACTGTGTTAAAGAGGTCTATATTCTGCTCCCTTTTATGCCTATGCAATTCCATGGAAACTGGTGAAGGTGCCTGAATATATAGTTGTGCTACATGGATGTAAGAGAAGGAATAATTTGGCTCTTCTAAAGAGTCCAAAGGGAGGTAGGTTGCTAACCTGCTTTGAGAGAGACAAGGTGGGTGAGTGAATATCTTTTATTTGACACATGTCTGTTGGTGAGAGAGACAAGCTCTCAAGCTTCTGAAGAGGAGTTCTTTGTAAGCTCAGCCACTTGAAAATGCATGACCTCACCCACCTTGTCTCTCTAATAGCCTGTGACCAACATAAGCTGCAACATAAGCTGCTTTTAGGCAGTTTGGAAAATCTCATCAGGTGCCTAATACCTTTTAAAAATCTGGTGACAGTTTTACTGGTATCCTAAAGAATGAGGAAAGAAAAGAAGCAAGTTTCCAAACAAAAAGTCCATTGCTTTTGTAGCTGAGGGTGGGAGAGATGTCTCATTTCTCATCACATGAGATCAGAAGTGGAATATCCATATTTGTGTGAATGGGTAGGGGCAGCATGAGACGATCCACCAGTGTGTGGATGGCAAAAAGGCTTATTCTGCAGTTTAAGCCAACAAATCCTCAAATAGGATTTATGAATGACTCAGCCATTGTGCGTAGGCCTTCTGTGGGATGTGGGCAGGGAGGAGTTTCATCTGGTGAAGTGTGTGTTTTGCAAGCTGTGGCACTCAACCATTCCAGACTTCTGTACGCTTTTAGGAATCTTGCATACCCCTCATGTTTCAGCTCATTTAAAATCTACTTGTGTAAAATCTACCAAATTAGACCAAAAACAAACAAAAATAAAAAAGTGTTATTGGTACACAATTATGGAAAAGTTGTAAACTGTCTCATTTTTACCATATAATTTTAAATGAATTAAAATATATGAACATAATATTTACATTTCAGTGTACAGTACATAGAAAAGTATAATCAAGTATCCATATGAAATTTTGGTTTGTACCAACTTTGCTAGTGTTTTTTATGTAGCCTTTTATAAAACTAGGTAAATAGCTAGATGAATTGATATTCCACCTAAAAGACCTATGTCTTCCCCCAGACATACCCCTGTTTGAGAACCCCTGGTTTAAAGCATGCCCCGGTATTACAAATATTTAAAAGCAATCCAATTTCTACACTTCTCTGCCTTTAGATTCCCCAGATTCCACAAGTGTCTTGTGAGATGGAAATTCTGGTGCACATGTTTTAACAGTTAGTACATTTGTATATGTATCGGAGGGGTAGCAGTGTTAGTCTGGATCTGCAACAGCGACAAGGAGTCCTGTGGCACCTTTATAGACTAGCAGATGTATTGGAGCATAAGCTTTTGTGGGCAAAGACCCACTTCGTCATGTATCTGACGAAGTGGGTCTTTTCCCACGAAAGCTTATGCTCCAATACATATATTAGTCTATAAGGTGCCACGGGAATCCTTGTTGCTTTTACGTTTGTATATATCTGCCTTGATGTCCAGGCACAGTTTATTGCTCCTTGATTAGAGGATCTTGGTAAGTGTGAGCACACAGAGACAGATATGAGCAACACAGCGTAGGCATGTTAAAAGAGTTAACCCTTTTAACTCTGGGCCTGCTGCCGGCCCCGGGGTCCGGCCACTTACAGATTAACCATTTTACATCCCTATACAGAGCATTATTTGGGAGATCAGTCGCTGGACCGAAGTCTCTTCTGTAGCTCGCTAACCCGTTAAATTTGATGTATCCATAATTGGAATCTTTTCACTTTCAGGCTCAATCACGCCGCTGGCTGCAGAGCAATGGACCTATTAACATGAACCACTACGCTAATAAGAAGAGTGCTGCAGAGAGCATGTTGGACATTGCTCTTCTGATGGCCAATGCATCCCAATTGAAAGCAGTAATGGAGCAAGGACCTTCCTTCTCATTCTACATCCCACTGATTATTCTCATCAGCATATCCCTCATACTTCAGATTGGAGTGGGTGTGCTGCTGATATTCCTTGGTATGTATTAAGGATATTGTCATTTGTTTCTCCAGTAGGATTCATCCTATTTTTGCATTTTTTCCTTTGGGAAAGAAAACTATTTGAATGGCCTTGTTTTAGAAGAGGTTACAGTTCAGCTACAGAATCCAGGGAACATTTTCACTGGGGAAAGTGGGTTACTGATAAGTGTCCTCATTTTCAATTGCTGACTGCCAGAAAATGGACTTCCCAATGTGGTTGGAGGAACAATGAATTTAGTTAAATGCAATGCACATAAAAAATCTATATAGGGCAGGCTTTATATGCACAGTAGCCTCATGCAGTTAGAAGCAACAGATTGTTAAGGAATGACCAAGAAGTTATCCTGCTGTTACAGAATAAGAGTATATTACTCCTCTTCCCCTCCATTACCACCAAGGACACTATCATACTCCACACCCAATTACCAATGTTACAGGTTTGATTACTTATAAAAGACAGTGGTATCCTAGATGTTTTCTTTAATTTATTAGTGTATACACGCCCCCAGCACCAAATTTCTTTTACATTGTTGCTGACAGCCAAAGACATTATCAGCTTTTACTCTGATGTTACGTGTCCTGTTGGCCAAAAAGACAAGATGAAGTGATGGTGGCTTGATGATGGATTAGATGTCTCTGGTGTGAAGACATTCTGCTTCAGCTGTTTGTTAGTTAGACCATTCCACAAATAGAATCCAGGGTCTTGTCTTTAAACAATTCTCTAATAGCTCATGGCTGTCAATTCATTTCTTTCAAGGAATTATATACCTATAAGAGATGTTAGAAAGGGTGAATCTCTTCTTGGGTTTAAGTCCAATAAATACTTCAAATATTCACTAGTGTCAAAACCTTTAACAACTTTGGCATCCTTGAGTGTATCTCTTTATTGTTCTTTGTACTACGTGTGGTAACCAGAATGTAAGAATTCTAAAATACTCCTTAATGCCATTTGTTGTACTACATGCAGTAATATCAGTTACTCTATTTACCCCATAAGGCTGAGAGTTTTCAAATAAGTTGATGATCTATGCTGATGTCTAGTACTCAGGAGGACCAAATTCTGCTATTAGAGAATTGTTTAAAGGCAAGATCCTGGATTCTGTATTCCAATCCCATGGTTGTGTTAGTGATCTAGCCCCCATTTTGGCAGAAAATTCCAAATCAATGGTGCTCAAGAACTATAGCCCAGAGTTTGCTAACATGCATCTATGGGATAAGATGGGAGAACGGCAAGAGATATGCAGGCTTCTTCCAAAACATTTTTGAAAGTAGAATCATTTGAATTATCACTGTCAGAATTCTTGATAGTCGTTGCATATACTTTACCATCACAGGAGTGAGATAGGTAGTAAGATTCCAACGTCACTCTACTAAGCTTTTCTAAAAAGGCTTGTATCTGGGGCTAGAGCATTTACAAGAATCACTGAGTCAAAAGGAAAAATATTTGCAGCAAAATATTTATATCCAAAATATTTGCAGCACAAGTTTAAAGAGTTGATCTGAGATGCTTATGCAGATTACCAGAGGAGAAGCTTAGGTTTTCACCAACCTCCTCTCAATAAGGAGCTGCGCCAACCCTCCGGAATGCTTCCTTTCTCAAGGCCTCTCTTACTCCCAGGGTCTTCTTCTCTAGGGCTATGTCTACACTACAGAGTTTTTGTGCAAAAACTTGTGGAGCGTCCACACTACGAGCCCATTCTTGTGCAAGAAAAAGTACAGTAAAGTGTAAGAACACAAGGCTTTTTGCACAAGAGCTTGGTCCTGCCTTAAGGGCGGGGGGCTGGACTCGATGACCTCTTGAGGTCCCTTCCAGTCCTATGATTCTATGATTCTATGAAGAGTTATTCTTCTCCCCATGAGAAATAAGCCTTTTTGCACAAGAGCTCTTTTCTTGTGCAAGAAACCCCTATGGCTAAAATGGCCATCAGTGCTTTCTTCCACAAAAGAGTGTCCACACTGCCATGGATGTTCTTGTACAAAAGCACATCTCTTGCGCAAAAGCACATGGCAGTGTGGACGCGCTCTTGTGCAAGAACTTTATGCGCAAGAACTCTTGCACAAAAAGTTCTTGCATAAGAAGCCGGTAGTGTAGACGTAGCCTACAGTTCTAGTCTAAGCAGTTGCTGCAGCCCATTAGAATAAGTGGGAGTCCTACTGACTTCAGAAGGCAGTGGTGTCAGCCCTTAGCTGCTGACAACCATATACATATTAACATCACTCATGTAGATTTTAGGGGCTTTTTTTTAAAATTAAGTCTGCAAGATGTGTTTTTTCTAAAAAAAACAAGAAGTCTGGTGGGACTTAAAAGATTAACACATTTATTAGGGTATAAGTTTTTGTAAGATACAACTTACTTCCTCAAATGCTGAAGAGAAAAGAGAAAAAAAGAGATACAGGGAAAAGAAAAAAGGAAGGGAAACAGAGAAAGCAGAAGTTTGGAAAAGTTCACACTGGGCACACTGGGCACTTAAAAAAAACCCAGATTTCTCATCGATTGTTACTTTGGTTAATTAGCTTTCCATGCAGTATCTTTGAGGTGGCCATCTCCTGTTGCAAAGGGGAAATTCCCAGTTAGCAAGGATGCTTGAACTGTGGTGACTTTGATGTGCTGGTGGCAGCTTTATTTCTCTCTTCTCATCCAGCCAGGGGAATTGAATGTCTTTTCCAGTAACTGGAGGAGAGGGACTTCTAAGGCCAGGTCTACACGAGAGGCAAAGTCAAACTAAGGAACGCAACGCCAACTACATTAATAGCTTAGCTGGAGTCAATGTACCTTAGTTTGAATTTCCATGGCGTCCCCACTGTGGGGAGGTATTCTACTTCCCTTACTCCTCATGACCCAGTGGAGTACTAGAATTGAGGAGAGAGTGACCAGCGATTAATTTAGCAGGCTCTTATTGACCCCTGAAAGATCGATCTCCACAGCATTGATCTTCCAGTAAGTGGAGACAAGGTGTACTGACTGCAATTCAAGTCAGATAAGAAAGAGGAATGATGATGGGTTACAGAAAGTAGCCTGAATGCAAGGCAAAAATTATCTTTGTCATCAATTGAAGGGGTCTTCATTGTAAACATGAGCACCAGTCGCCCTAAGAGACTGGTTAGAGCTCAGCTGTTGTTGAATAATATATCTCAGCAGCAGCAGAGGCTGCTTTTTAACATTTACATCTGTCTGGGAGACTGAAATTTTCTGTCAGATGTGGACCTTGCCCCTCTGACACATACCGTTTGTCACCTTGAGAGTGGGCTGCTGTAATGAGCTCTGTTTGGGGCCTACACCCAAGCTCAGTTCAGAAGCTAGAGATAAGGCAGCATGCTGCAGTCCACTTGGTAAACAGAGTGGTGTGCAGTCAGCATGTGCAGCTGATGCACCAAGGTCAGTACTGGCTGTCTGTGAGTTTCCAAATGTTTCAAGTTTTGGCATGGCAGATAAAGCCTTGAATTCCTTGGGGCATTCCTATCTGAGAGGCTTTCCCCCAGTGGCACTGTCGAGATCAAAAGTGGTCAAGCTGGACTGCCCCTTGGTCTAAAGGAGGGAGTGAAGGCATGAGGCAATGTTATGGCTGCTTACCTTTCACAGTGAAGATCTGGCTGTTGCTTCAGTGTGTGCTTGCTGGACAGGTAGGTTAGCTCTCTGGCTAAACAAACCCTCCGCTCCTTGCCACGTAGTGCTCAGTCCAACACTCCCCCTCCCCCAAATGCTTCCTTTCTCAAGGCCTCTCTTGCTCCCAGGGTTCTCTTCTCTAGGGTTCCAAGCAGCTTCCCCCAGTTGCTCAGGTGAGGCCCAGAGTGCTCTCACTGAGCTCTGCAACGAAGCCATGGCATACCTCCTGGCAACTCCTTCCCATCTTTCCTTGCTATGAATCTCTAACTCTCCTCAGACATGGGAACACGAACTCCCAGAATTCCCCTGCTCTGGACTGAACCAGCAACTTGGCCATGAGCCTGCTGTAAAGGACCATTGGTTCCCTGCCACAAACACAAAACCAGTTCAGAATATTTTAGCTTTCTGGTTCTAGGCTGCAGGCAAGAGCATAAATGGCCTGTCCTTTGGAGACCCTGGTTTTCTGCATACTTTCCCCTGAAGATGCCATGGCAGTGCTAACGGCATTCAGAATGGAATGGGAAAAGAGTTTTTTGCAATAGTTTAGGTTGCCTGAAGTGATAATGGGATTGGATTACTGTGAGACAAGGCTTACGAATACCTGTACTAAAGAATGGCTGATGTTAGCTGCATGGATAGTACTATAATAATGAAATAGGGTTCCTATAATTCCATCTGAAATCTCAGAATTCTGCTTTAAATAGATAGAGCTGTATTTTACCTACTTCCTTGCCTCCAATTTTGACAAATCAGAATGACAGCCCTCCGCAATCTGATGTCTAACACATGAGATCCTCTAGCTATATATTTATCGCTGTCCCCTTTTCTACCAGCAGCCAACCCTAAAAATCATTTTTCTTCAATACTACAAGAAAGGAATTCCAGTTAATTCCTGTCTGGAACTGTTACCCGGGGTTCTTTCAACCCAAGCCTCTCGATAACTTTTACTCTCTGCGAGGTGGTGTCAGGAAACAACTCAGGGGAGACACGGTCGTCTGACCGATAGATGGATGGTACAAATGGGACAACACAAGAGTGCTTTCACTTAAAGCTAAACTTTACGTAGTCTCAAGCACTTACACACGTCCGCAACAGGTTAGTAAAACAACCCCACCCTCGATAATTACCGAAGTTGAGTGTGGCTCTCAAGTGTCACCGAGCAAGCTTCTGATGGCCAGTCTTCCGTCTGCCAGTGGAGACAAAGATGCGTCCAGAAGTGAAGAGTCCTCGAGGTGTCCCTCCAAGTGTTCCCAAAATTGTCCCCCCAACCCAAACTTTCCTTCCTTATTTATCCATTAGTATTACAATAACATGTCACTCAAAAACTTGTTAGGCGAGCACTTTTTAAAGGTTAGGCAACAGGTTTTCTTCTGATCATCACTTTCACCAGATGCGGCTTTTTTCTTTTTCAGAGACTTCATGCTCGGGTTCCCTGATAGATATATGTCTTAGGACATTTAGACAAACTTCCTGTTTTTCTTAATGTATAGCTCAGTGATTTCACTAGAGATTTGGGCCTCAGGAAGGACGAGGGGTCAAGCTGCCCTCTCTGTGGCACGCAAACTCCCCTTCTTCCCCCTCCCTGACTTGGGGTACGTCTAGACTACCGCGTTTTGTCGACGGAAGTTTTGTCGACAGATACTGTCGACAAAACTTCCGTTGACAAAGAGCGTCCAGACACATTGAGGTCTGTCGACCAA